GACTGCATGTAAAGCTCAACGGTCTCACGCCTCGACCGACAGGCTGGACACGTCACACAACAGAAGAAGCAAGGAGTGAGTATGCAATAGTCACACGAACATAGCCGCTGCCCGCACTCGAGACTGCAGAGAGTCGAGTGGAAATAGGACACAGCAGTATGTACAGTCTCGAGTCTCGGACGAGCACATGCTGCACAGTGGCAGGCTATATGGCACTGCCACACACACGACACTAGCGCTGCCTGCATCGGGTCGCTTTGTCGCATTCGTCGCCTTGCTCGCAATCGCATGCGTGCGTGCGTGCGTGCGTGCGTGCGTGCGTTGCAGGCTGTTTCATCCTCTCTCTCTGTGTGCATGGCGATCGATTGCCTGCAATGGCCGTCAGTCACCTAGCTCTGATCTGCGTCGCGGCTTGCGCTCGGGCCACGCATCAGTAGTCGTGATCGAGCATCCTGATTAGTCACTTCACTGTGACTGTCTTGGGTCACGATGAGTGTGCTGCGCGACGAGCGACTGACTCACCACTGACTGACAGGAATCTTCGAGACACGTGTAGATCTTTCCCCAGCCATCAAATGTCACGTGTGGTGTGAGTTTTTCTAGCGTCCATCCATGCACACAACCAATTTTGGAGTCAGAGTGCACTCGCACGATTTCAATCAAATCACGAATCCTGATGAGGGGCATGGCATGCAATCAGCTCCAGATCATCTATCCATTCGATTGACTCGTGACTCGCGCACCTCGCTACGACCAAGTCGCAAACACTCCAAACCCTTCGCGCTCGCATCGTGTCTCCGACTGCAAGGTCAGAGAGCAAAAGACAGACGGCACTGCAGCAATACCCGGGATAGGACTTTCTAGCTGTCAAAGCCTCCGCCGTAATGTCTGTCGAGCAGCAGGAACAGGCATTCAAGCCATCCAAGCTCGGCACAAAGGCACACTGGGATGAGTGCTACGAGAGGGAATTGGTCAATTGGCGCGAGTGCGAGGAAGAAGGCGAGATATGGTGAGCATACACGCACGACGCGATTTTCTTCCATGTCTCGAGTTCGTTGCGTGGGTGTACCTCGCTCTGCCCGTGTAACGCATGGCTGAGAGCTATGATCACTGTAACTGCCATACCCAACGACTCAGGTTCGGCCAGCAAGCTGCACGACGAATGGTGTTGCAGCTCAAACAGCTCCGTCTGAGCAGCCCGACGATCCTAGACTTGGGCACGGGAAACGGGATGCTCCTCCACGACGTTCTCGACGAAGAATTGACGGAGCCGGAAAAGTCGATGGGTGTGGACTATTCGGCGGCATCTATCGAGCTAGCTGGTTCCATCGCGCAAGAACGGGGGAGAGGGCTGGAACGGGTGCGATGGCAAGTGCTGGATCTCGTTGGTGACGAACAGTCTGTGGGAGCGTGCGGGCAGTGGGATGTCTTGTTGGACAAGGGTACAGTGAGTGGGAGCATACTTTGGTCAAGGAGCACTCAGCTGCAGGGTAGCAGCATCCCACTGCTTGCGAAGATTGCCTAACGGGCTCGCATGGTGTATCCACTCAGCTCGACGCCATCGCCCTATCCGCTCACTCCGAAGCAGCGATCACCGCCTACGTTCGATCCACGAGAAAATTACGCAGTCCTGCAGGAGTGCTGATCCTCACATCATGCAATTTCACACTGGAAGAACTGAAGCGCCTCTTCACGCAAGACCAAAGCATGGGAGATGAAGACGAAGTGGTGGAGAGCAATGTGGCTGCACCTCCCACTTTCAGCTTTGGCGGTCGAACAGGAAGCACCACGACAGTCATCATGGTGCGAAGCAAGTCGCCGGGCAGATGAAGCAGCGCACAAGCTAGCTGCATATGCTGAGGGAGGCCGGCGAACACAAGAGGAGCATCTACGAACATTAGCAAATCGTGTCGAACCGGCTGATCTAGAGGTCAAGGTGCCTGCCCCATTTCTGATCGTCAATCAGTCGTCTCACGTCGACATGCTTCATCTCCGAGTCCACTTGAAATTTTGCTACCTTGACAGTGCATGCCGCCGAGTGCGCTGTCAGGGCAACATCTGCATCAATCGCATCAGCGCATAAATACGGTCAGCATGCTATCGATTTCAGTCGTTGTTCCGCGCAAGTCGCAAGGCAGGACAAGCCGGAATGCTGGCATCATTTGATGCTAGCCATTGGCGAGTGCTGTCGGAGCACGACGCAAGAGCCACTAGCGGCGGCGTAGACTCCTGGAAGGGGAGGGCAACGTCTACACACAAGGTGCGCGGTTTACCAGACATCGGCGCGGCGTTTGCAGCACAAGGCTTCATGCCCGGCGAACAAGTGACATGCCCAGATCTGTCTACATGCGATCCCTGGTCGTCTCCTGCGAATGGGTATCAACGCGATGCCCACGCGACAACGCAATCGTCAATCAGAATGCATTGCGATTGCAGGACGATCACATTTTCGCCTGTGAAGAGTTATCAATCTTTGTGTGCGTTCCGCTCGTAGTCCTCCTCAACCTCTTACCATCCTCTGCATCCTTCAACCAGATATCGCACTGTATAGCAGCCACGCTCTTGCCGACGGTCAAGGAGTTGACTTCAATGTCTACCCATGCGCCAACGGGTGTGGGCGCAAAGTAGAGCATCTGGATGGACTGCGAGACGCCTAGGTAGGACCAGGGGTCGCCAGAGATGCCGGATGTGTGCAGGTAGAGCTGTGGGGGCGCGGCGCGAGGTGAAATGATGTGGCAGATGCGCGTCAGACGGATGCAACACGCTGCGAGATGATCAGGGTGGTGGCGACTTGCTGCTGCGAACAACACGCCGCTCGAATACACTGCGCTCTTCATCATTCGTGACTTGTGGGCGCAGAGCCGTACAAGGCCCAGCTTTTTGCCCTGCTTGGGGCAATCTGCAGGCTGTCCTCGTCATCCGAGCCCCATCCGGCTTTGCCTTTTGCCTTCCCACAGCAATCCACCTTTTAGTCCTCCTCTTTTGGCCCCCCCGATGAGCACGAAACGGCAATGGACCAACTAGACAAGGGGGGCAAGCCGAGCGGGAACACTCACGACCATGGAAGTGGCGCAATCCACAATCGTAGCGCCAGCCCCACCATGAAGGTTACCCAGCTGATTGGCCATGCCCTCATTGATGCGCATCTTGAGCACCACTTTTGCGCTCTTTTGATCCTCTGAACGAGAGAGGTGGGTCAAGCTGACTGATGGGTCTAGAGCGTAGCGCGAAAATCCGGGAGATTCGGGTGACGACATGGCTTCGAGAATGTCTGCGGTGCGATGCGGTGCGGTGCGGTGCGGTGCGGTGTGAAGACGAGATGGGATGGGATGCAGGATGAAGACAATTTTATGTTTTGCACATTGACTTGGCTCAGCACTCTACCTCGTGCAAGTCGGAGAGGCGGCAAGAGGCGAGAAGACGCACCTTGGATGGCCTTTTTGGCCCCATCTATGCTCTGCAATTGAGGCGCAGGCATCTTGTCTGTCCCTTTGTTCTCGGTGCAATTGCGAGTAGTATGCCTGCCTGCCTGTCTGCCTGTCTAGCTAGTTGTGCCTTGTCTTTGTCTTGCTTTGAGAAGCTTGCAGCGTCTCTTTGAAGATGGAAGATGAGAGGTGCAATGATGGAACTTGCTTTGAGCGTTGCGACTTTGACACGAATCAGAGAGGGCGCGGGTTGAAGAAGCGTGGGGAGGTGGAGCAATGAATCAGATCAGATGACAGCCCAGAGTCACAGTGATGTGATGTGATGTGATGTGATGGTCAATCGTGAATCAACCTCCGTCGTGCATGGTCAATCCATCCATCTTTCCCTTCCCACATCATACAGCCGCTCTTTCCTCTCGACCAAGCGCGCTGCATGCCCCTCCGGCCTCTCGTCTGCTTCCGATTCCGAATCTTTTGAATCATCATCACCAATCACGAATCCAAAAGCGACTCACCAGCCAGCTCTTCGATCGTCACTTCGTGCTGCTTATCCGCGCCAGGCGTGCGTGCATGCAGCCTGCCGCGCGCGTGAGAGCTGCTGCTGCCAAAAAATAACGCGCGAGGGATGGGAGAAGAGAACACGTGACTGCACGAGAAATCCACGCTTTGTCGCAAGGGGAAACGTACCCGCGAACCCATGACGTGCATGCGTGCGTGCGGCCAATAACTCATCAGACTTTGACTCACACTCGAGAGTCGAGACTACTGCTGTCTAGACTCGTGATTGTCGCGAACTGGGACTGTGACTCGCTCCTTTCACAGACTTTGATTCTCCCACCGTTCTTGCTTCACACAGTCAGCGTGCTGCAAGCATCACACAGAGAATTCTGCGAGGAGAAGCGCGAGTCACGAAGAAGCGCAGCACGTCCTTAGCACGGGGTCTATCAGTCGTTGCAAGCCATCACACGCGCCTTTGAGCATTGGCCAAGTCAGTCGACACATCATTCCCGAACCTTGAGTTGTCGCACCTACAGTAGCACTCATCACATTCAAGCAACATCAACCGTACAATGACACGTGAGCGCAATTTAGTATGGGGAGGGGAAAAGCCCTGAGCTCAGCGCCTTCTCGGTTCGCTGTTGGCCTTTGCGCTGACCGCACCCTCACACTTCCCCCCCCCCTTCTTTCGATGCATTCGTGCCAGGTGGCAATCAGAGAGATTTGGCTCGAGCCAAGAATGCAAAGAAGCAGGAAGCTGCGGGAAAGGGTAAGAAGGATACTGGTGGATTGACCTTGGCTCAGCAGAGACAGAGGGATTTGGAGATTGTCCATGCAAAGCAGGCTGTGAGTCGATCGATCGAGTCGCGCGCGCTTGCAAGACGTCATCATTTCCTCCAGACCAGAAGGATGAGGACATGCTTGGGGCGGTTGAGGGGAGCCGCGATACGGTTACGATGGGGAAGCGTGACGTTGCTTTGCAAACATGATGCTCAGTCGCTTGGAGCTACAGGAAGAGCGGCTTATGCAAGCCGAGCCAGCGCACAAGGAAAAGAAACTCAGATGCCTCTGAGCACATCCATCACATCATCGCCGCGAGTGAAGCCGTTAGCGTCCCCCCCCC